ACTGCCTGGGCCTGCGAGTGTGGGGTGCAAATCTGGTGGTGAAGGGGATGCTGCGCGGGAACCGGTACCTCGCTCACGCTGGGCAGCACGTTTCTCCCTCCCAAGGCCTCTGCGGACCACACCTGTGCTACTCCCAGCTGCTGCTACTGTTTCACGTTCACGTTCATTATTGGCACCAGCAGCAACAGCCGAGCCAGATGCTGTACTGACAGGCACACCGACCGCAACACCAGAAGCAGCGGTCCTGGTAGCCCAACGTTGTGGAAGCTTCAGGATGAAGCCCCTGACTTTTCCGCGCGCCGGTTCAGGTAGCGCTCCACCAGCGCATTTGCTAACTACGTCCACCATTTGTCGAATAGTCGATACGATGTCTTTCCGGACTTCGGTGAGCTTTCTGAGGTGTTCCTCGGAGATTGGAGGTCGGCGATGAGAAGGCGAGTTGGGCTGAGGGATCGGTTGAATACTCTCGATAAAATCACGGAGGATGAGTATTTGAGCGTCTATATGGGCGGTTGCGGACTATGGTCCATGGTCATGAGTAGCTCATCATAAATAGGGGAATTAAAACATACCTGCAACCATTGGAGACAATATTTCAGCCGACGCATATTTTCTTCGCTCAGGGCAACACCCAATCCACCCGCTTCCAGTAGCATTGCCTGCCATCGGCTTCGCTGCGCAATCTGTTGGTCGGGATTCTGGTTCGCACTCTGACCGTGTTGTTGATCTGTTGGTCCTCTATCCCTGCTTGAGTGAGCGCGGCGAAGATGAGGAGATTGCTGGTCAGGCGAAGAATGGCGCGCTGTCAGGTTGCTTCGCTGTCCATCAGGTAGAAAAGGCGAGCCAATCCTAGAGTCTTCTTCTACTGGGGAACCAGAGGAACGCGTGTAAGAGCGTGTTGCTAAAAACAAGGTAAACGTGGCAGTCACCAAAAATAGGATGACTGGACGAACTTTGGATCCATTGGGGTACGCTCCTATCATCTCCAGCATGTGACCGCCGCTCCAGACTGGCATCCTGACGATCCCTATATCCTTCTACTAGCCCGCGGTCGCCATCCTCCTGCGCAACGGACCCGTCCATGGTCTTTGTGCGTAATTTTGGTCGCCCCCTCTCGGCTTCTTGATCGAATAGCGTTGGTGATGAGCCAGTATCTTCATTATACGACATGCGTCTATGTGCATAGGAAGGAGAAACAGGGGATCGAGGTGAGGTGGGTTCTGGTCCAATCGAGGGACGCCTGTATTTATCGAGCTGTAATGGGGAGAACATAAGTATCGCATTTAAAATATCGAATAGCAGAGCCGAACAGCTTTGTGTCTGGTACACAGAAACTACGGAGCGTGAAAGGAAAAAGAAACAACAGGAGCATGGCGTGGTACGATGACAGCTCGACGGGCCTATCCCTAGGGACAATTTCACGTGCGAAAGCGCTTGTCGATCGATGATGACGTGAAGGGCCAGATAAGCCAGGTCGACAATGTAAGGGACTATACCCGCAACAAACATGAGCATAAAAGCATAAAACGTACTCTATCAAGCTGGCGGCACGCAAATTCGTCGATCTGGTTGACTGGCAGACGGTTAATGACTGGTTTTGATATTGTCTTGACGCTTGATTCCACCATTTCTGCGCCGTACTGGCATTGGCGCATGTGATTATCAGCTCGGCACTATCACAATAAAGTACATAAACGTGCCTTTACAACCCTAGATGAAGCCTTTCCCTGTTCGTATGCACGGATCGCTGTTCCAACCAGAGGAAACGATGTCATGCGCGCAACAAAATCATAGCCAGAGACTGGGTGTTGTAGTGAGCCATCTTGCTCTTCGTTCCTGCTGCTGCGCGATGATGCACGACCTGTAAATCCCGGAGTATTAAATACCAAGGCTAGAAGATGATCCGTATCGGACAGACCGTCACCGGAAGAAGCTGAGACGGCTGCACGGGAGCGCATGTCTCCGAGAGCGCGGACAGCGATGTCGACACGAGCGCTCTCGTCGTCGTTGGCGGTGTCGACGGGGGGAGGATTGTCAGGGTGTGGCATGATGGAGGTGGGGAGGAGATTGGGGCACACATGTGAAGAAGGTAATGAATAAATCCAAATTGCATGTGAAATCCAAAATCAACATACACAAACAACCACCTGATCAAAGCTAACTAATTAATCATTATCAAAAATAGACCCATCATCAGCTAGCGTCCGCAAGATGAATCCGTACATGCTGGCCCAGGTTGTCCCGCCTGCTGAAAGACTTGTCACATCCCTCGTATGGACATGGGTGAGCTGTGCATTTCAGCAGTAGTACTAAAAAAAGAAGAGAAACCACCTACGTTTATCATGGGTATGAATACTCCGCACATGCCGTTTCAGGTGCTCGCCGCGCACAAAACACTTGCCACAACCAGAAACATCGCACACAAACACCCGTTTCGCCTCTTCCCTACCCCGTTTCTTCGGCGAACTACTCGTTGAGCTTCCACCACGAGAGGTAACCTCCTTCGCAATGTAAGGAACCTTCCGGCCTCTACTCTTCTTGATAAGGTGCGGGACAGGCACAGGTAGCGGGATGTGACCATTTCGCCTCCTCCTTCCCGCACGAATCTCGGCACCATCTACCGGATACATCAATTCCTCCTGGCTCTCTTCCATCGGGAACGGTACGTATGTTCCCCACGCACTCGTAGGCGGTTTGCCACTCATCATCGTAATCTTCGCGAGTGCAAGGGCAGCGCTTCCTTTCGCCTTTCCTTTATTCCGCCTATACTGATCCGACAGGTCATCATCGGAATCGTCACGTTCGTATTTCACACTGCCGTAGTCGGTAGTAGTCGACAGCTGCACACTCCCACTTCGCCTGCGACTATCGGTTCCCGAGTTGCTGATGCGCTCGAGCCTGGAAATAGCCTTCGCGGAATGGGTTGATGGACCAGCGCGATTCTCGGTTTCAGGAGAAGACGACCGAGAGGGGAGATAAGCATCATCTTCATCGTCACTCGAAGACTCGTTACTTCCATCCGACTCCACTTGAATCTCTCGCTCCTTCCCTTTCCTCGAAGGAAGCGACAACGACCCGACCCTTCGTTTCTTCCTCTCCCTCCCATCGTCACCGCTGTTGCCCGTACTGTCCACACTAATCGTTCGCAAACCCAACATCTCTCTCCTCAAACTAGCAGCCCTCTTCCTATCCTCATCCAGATCACTATCAGAGTCCGTCTCCGGACTCCTCTTCCTCTTCCTGCTTTCAGCCTGGTGCATCGGCACTACTGCGACTGGAGGGGTCTGTGGTCGAATTTGCACTTTCGGAGGAGAAGCGGCATTAACAACATGTTCCTGACTTTCTCCCTGCCACCCCATCAACGCCGGTCGCTTACTCCTCGTAGGTATTGGCAGCGGCAGCGGCGCGTTACAATACGACGCTGTCCTCCCGCCCTTCCTAGCCCCTGGCCCCAGCTTGCTTGGTGTCTTGACAGAGCTAACAGCCCTCCTCATAAACGTCGCCGGCTGAATCCCCAAACCCGCTCCCCCTAATTCTCGACGAACACGACCAACCGATGGTGAAGTTCCGCCACTACTAGCGTCGGCCAACCCAGATAACACGAACGAGAGACTATCACCAGTCGTATTCCCATCGTTGGCCCCACCCACACTCCCGCTCGCACCCATCAAAATCCTTCCTCGGCTGTCATAATGTAGCACGGCCGGCGAAAGGGACGACGGTACGAGATCGACCGAACTAGGAAGATATGAAGATGAAGACGCTGTGCTCGCCCCAGGACCTTGACTTGCTCCAGAGTTGGAGTCGCTCGTAATATAGCTAGTCATATTCGGCGACCTGTAAGCCTCAAGCGGATTTATTGGAGAAAGACCAAAAGGATCAGCACCCCGAATATTATCCACGACGCCACCCTGCGCCAAAGAGATATCCATATCCGAAGTAGACCTCTCCCCAATACCCTGTCCACCAAGTCCATGCTCTCCATCAAGCGAAAACGCTTGAAAATCCGAAATAGAGCCAAACGCCCTCGAGAGAGACTCCGGCAGATATCTATGCAGAAAATCTTCAGATTCCGCTGCGGGGAGTTGTCCAATGGGATCTAACGAAGACGAGAGCATATCTTGATCACTCGCGTGCGAAATCATATGGCTCAACTGGCTCGGGACGACAGTCGACGCTGACCCTTGCATCAATGGAGGTTGGCCCACGTCAACTCTGAGTCCGAGTCCAATGTCGAGCCCAAGTATCCCGCCGAGATCATCCAACTCCATAGCTTCGTTGCTATGGCTCCCAACCAGGCTTCCACTCCGACTGAGGTCGACAGACATGGAAGGTGATACGAGATTGAAACCTATAAGGCTAGGCTGTTGTTGCAAGTCCTCTAGCCGTTGAAATGATTGCATCTGTCCTTGCGAGAATGATCCCAGCGCCCCATCATCCAGAACATCGCTATTCCGATCCACGTTCGCCGCACCAGCATCAAACACCGCAAAATCCATGATATACCCTTCCTGTAAATTGTCCAGGCTCGCTGAAATCTTGAATAGAAGTAGCACAAACCACGAAATAGGCCGTCGGGGAGTCGAGAGGGAAGATGGGACAGTGTCGAATCGAGTCGTCAGTCCCAAACTTTGAGCCAAGACCCTGTTAATATCATCATGAGGTAATCCCGGTTCTCCAAGCATAGGATTTCGATCCGTCCTTGGGGTAGTAGGGTGGTGTAGGCCTGAGGCTGACCGATCGTTGAGTCAATCCTGAACCATTTCAACGATCCGCTCAGAAAGCCAAGCCAATACAGTAAAATACGTTAGTCCAGTGTCATGAGACAACATAGAAATCGAACATATAGCGGGCGCCGGCCGGTGGTGTAACAAAGTAAGCTGGAGAAGACAAGGAGAATTCATCGACCCTGGTGAATCGAGTTCAGATCGTGTATACACCAGCAACTCCGAACATTCCGATACCGGCCCGGTTCAACATCAGATCAATCTAAGACAGTTGCCTGCCTAGCTCAATTGGTCAGAGCGTCAGACTTTTAAAACACTTGAAGTCATCTGAAAGTTGCGGGTTCGAGTCCCGCGGTGGGCTTGTTAAACCTTTCATATGTGTTTTTTGTGTTTTTGCAATACCGGACAAAGTAAAAACTTGGCTTATGCATGTCACTCGCACGAACAACGAGCAGCCCAAAAAAAACAACTTGATTCAATCCTACAGACAAAACGGCCGAGTAGCTAGGATTCCGAAATACTAGAAGACCAAACCAATTGTCATCAAAATACATGAAGGGGGCCTCGACATTTGATCTTACCGTCCAATGAGCTGGATTAATTCCTCTACTTGGTATGCAAGCAGAACACGTTGGGTCTTCGCCGTCAGACGCACATGCTCGGGTGGTCTCTTCAGATATCGGGTGCGTGTATTGCCAGTACTCAATACCTGTACATATCCAACATTGATAACCCAGGACGACGATGAGGGTCGCGGCATACCGTGGTGATGGTACCCGAGTGCGATTGGAATAATCGTGGGCACGCTGTAATTCACTCACTCAACTAAGACAAACGTCAGAGTCAAAAGTAACCCACCCATCGTTCCCATGTACCACTGATTATATCGTAGATGAATGAGTTTATGGATCGGTGAGTATAAAAGAGATATTATTTTACCTCGGTAGGCGTTCCTCCCAAACATTTCGTTGACGAACATGGCGAAATCTTTGTTCTGAAGGACTGTGAGTAAACATTGAACGAGAAGGAAAAACCTTGTCAGTGTTTTACCCCCGCTCTTGGTGCACCGTACGAGTAAGTCTTAACCGTTCTAGGATAGCGAGATGTCAATGCATGGAAATGTTATTGAGGGGAAGGACATACTGATCGGGGTATTTCTGCTTCAAGGTGATCGCTCCGAATAATGCAAGAACACCACCTAAAGAATGCCCAGAAGTCACGATGGTATACTCTGGGTGAAGCTTCACTTGACGAGAAATGATCATGAGGATTTCTTGGGCGATGGAGTTCCAGCTGGTAAACAAGGATCGAATATTGTTCACCAGGCCAATTTGATAGGACACACGATAGGAGGAACCCGGTATGAACGCGAACCCCCGCTAATCTCAACTTAGTGAAGCTAGCATGAAACGGCCAGATACGAACCAGATACAGAGACACCAGGCGCAACAAAGGGCACAAGAATAACTTGAGCATCTGCTATGAACGCAGTGATCGAGGAACTTATGGTGTGGTTCAGTCGCCGTAGTGTTGTAACAGGCTCAATAGTTTAGGCGCACCTCCCACGGAACGCGACAATTATTTCCCGTCTGCCATCATCCCTCGCTACATATCCTTGAATATCCCCTCCAAGATTGGTGAACTATACCATGGGATGTGATAAAGTGGTATGGACGCGCATTTTCACGTACGGACCGGCGTTACAAGCGTCTTTCCATTCGGACGTGGGCAGACGAGGCTATAAGCAGAAGAAGCATACTTGAAATAATGCACCAAGTCTTCGTATAGCTCTGGTTGCGAATCGACTGAGACTGAGAAGCAGAAACTCTCAAGGAAATATCTCACCTGCACTGATTGATCCTGTCTCAGAAGATGTATCCATTGAACGAGATAGAGGTAGACTAAGAAAGAGAACTGACAGCGCCCAATATGGCACAGAAGCTCAAGGAAGTCTAATTTTGGCATCAGAGCCAATTTCGGGAGCTTCCGAGCCCATTCCCAGGCTGGATGGATCAACGTCCAAAAGGGGGGGAATCCGCTTATATAAGAGCAGGCATTATTCTCATTACCTCCATTCTGATGTTTCACCTCACGCATACAGAACCATTGTCCCAGATTCCCTAGCCCCGGGTTCAGCTGGGAGCCTAGATCTCCGCAGTTGACGGCCTAACCATAGCGCTCCCCTGGCGATCAGCACGCATTCATATATAAATGCGTCTCGAAAATGACAGGCGCATAGGTCTGAGCACTCTTCAGTCTTCGCCTGCAAGCATGCTCTTGTTAGACATTATCACATCCCTCGTCATCTCAATATTCGGATTGGCCGTGTTTCCACACTCAAAACTGCTCCGGCGCACATGCGGTATCATCCTCGTTGCCCATTATATAAATGTCCTCTGGCGCCCCTACCCAGCCGACGCTCTCAAATTTTTTATTTACGAAAGTGCCTGTTTTCTCGGCATTGCACTTTTCATATATTCCGACCGTGCCATTCTGAACGATGCGTACCTCAACCACAAACGTAGTGGACAAACCCTCCCGCTCGCTGAAATGACACTCCTCCAACGAGTGAGATGGTCTACTGATGCCTTTCTGAACCTGCGAGGCATCAACTGGTCGTGGGAGATCCCTCATCTCCGTCGTTCGACCCTTTCCCGATGGGGTTTTGTAGGATACCAGCTCCTCCAATTACTTGGGTGTGTTGCAATCAACGGAATTTCGAAATACCCTCTTAAGGGGAACCCTGTGTGGCAGCCAGACCGCAAGGAGGGGTTCAGGTCTGGTGGATTTGTCACACAAACCTACAATGTCATGGTATTTTGGGTGTTGGCATGGTCAAGTCAATTATCTCTGTATATTCTGGTGTCCACAGCCACGGTTGCCTTGGGGTTCTATGAACCAAAAGATTGGCCCTCATTGTTCGGACCTTGGAGCAGTTTGACCAGCATGAGGAAGTTCTGGGGGTGAGTGGCCCCCGCTTATCGACATGAGATAAAATTAACGCTTGTGATCGATAGTCAATATTGGCATCAATTGCTTCGGCGGGTGAGGCACCACACGCGTTCAGCGTCTCGATTGTCTTGTTAATGTTCATCAGCCATTCCAAGCACACGGGAAATTCGTAACAGACAAGGTCCTGGGTCTCAGTCCAGGAAGCAAGATCTCGTCTTACATCCAGCTGTATATCGCCTTCTTCCTCTCCGGCCTTTTTCATGCTGGAGCAGATTGGGCCGCAACCAAAACGTTTCAAAATTCACGGAGTACGTTTATGTTCTATATCCTACAGGCTGTAGTTATCACGTTTGAGGACGGGGTGATCGCCCTTGGTAGAGTCGCCGGAGTTTATCAGATACCATCGGTGATCAGCTATGTCTGGGTTTTATTTTGGGTGAGCATGCTAGGTCCGATGTGGATTGAAGGGATGGTGAAGGGTCGGTTGTTACAATTATTTATTTGATTGATAGTATAACTACATAGTCATCCACGGTATAATACATGAATGAGTACAGTCCTAGGAATTATTATTTATACACTCATGGTTCGATGAAACAATACCCAGAACAATAGGAAGGATCCAAAAGTGGGTGGAATTTGAACATATCGTCAGATGATTCTTTGCCTGAGGATCACCTTCGAAGTGGGGAATAGCTTACACTCCTTCGGCGACTCCTACTTCGGCTCCTGCTCCTGCTTCTCGTCGAGCTGCTTCCCCTGGAACTTGACCTTCCATCGACGGGATCCCCATTGTCATCCTCACCAGACGATTCCCCAATTCTTGCAATAATTTCGATCTCACCACCAGCTCCAGCCCCCACATTCTCTCCAAGGTTCGCATACACCCTTAGCCCAAGGTATAGCTCATTCTCATCGTCTCTTGGTATCTTCATGCCCGTGGGCTTGTCCTTGGGTGGGTCAGGTGGGGATGGGCTCGCAGCCCTCGACCACTGATTTGTAGGTTCCGGTCCTGTATAGTTGTAATTATAGTTGGTCGGCCATGGTATGTGGTATGGACCTGGGCCTGAGTACAGAGCTGGGCCAACACGAGTGTCACGGGCGTATCCATTGTAGCGAGGTGGCGAAGGGAGCGGGATTTGTTTCTGTCTCTGCTTCTCCCTGTGCCTATTCCGCCGGGAGGTGGTTACTGTTAGATGATTATCCAAGGGGGGGCCTTTAACGATTGGGGGGGCAAGGGAGATGGGATCTGAAGGGATAAAGGGCTTGGGTTTGTTCGGGTTCTTTGTCCGAACTTTCTTGACAACAACAGTGGTCGTGGTAGTAGTGACAGTTTCAATGTTGTTGGCGGAGTCATCGTCAGTGAAGTACTCTGTTTCATTGCCGGAGCTGTCGTCCTCTTTGTCTCGCTTCAACTCTGCCCCTTTCTTTTTCTCGTAACGTTGTTTGTCGAGCTGGATGAGATCTTGTAGGGATCTTGGTAGGTAGTATCTGTGAACTCTGCCAAACGTTTAGTGGGGGTATTTCTTAAGGGGGCATTAGACAGAGGGCTTACTCAGGAGTGATATCTGAGTGGGATCACAAGTATCAGCAAGAATACGGAATTGGAATTCCTTAATCCAAATAAATACTCACTAGACGCAATTAACCTGCCCTCTGCCCTCTTCGTCATGATCCTTGAAAGCTTCGGTAATTGCCAATCCTCAATGCTGAGATCCTATTTCGTACTGTAAGCAGCACCCTTCAAGAACGATTGATTACTAAATCATACCACTAGAACTGTAGAGTCGATCACACGGTCAATTCGTGCCTTCAGAAATATCAACATTTGTTTAGAGCAGCAGAAAAAGAGAGTTCGTACATAAACAATGTAAGTCCCGGCTTCCAAGTAGGCTTCAACGCTGACGTCTCGAGCCTGGAACTTATTGTGTTGGTACTCCATGAGGGGTTCATCTTCGCCTTCTTTGACAACCACGAAATCGAGAGTCCAGAGAGACCTACTCGCAAGATCTCTGAAGTATCGGGTATTGAGTTGGGCGAGGGATATCACAGTCGGGGCCGCGGACGGAAGCTTGAAAATAACTGTCGATAAGAACGTCAGCGAGAGGCTCTCCTCACATTAAATTCAACCTACACGAAACATCGCCATAGGAAAACGCTGCGGGCAATCGTCGACAGGGCGTGCATAGCCATTTTGATGACATTCTCCATGATGAATCAAATAGCAATGTTCGATCGATATCCGTGAAGCATTCAAGCCAGTCGTCATCTGAACAGCAAACGTCAGCTCTGAATCTGTGAAGGAGCGTAGTACTCACATTCCATAACGAATTGTCCATCTTCACCAAAAGAATGTCCTAGCTCGTCCAACACACCTATCCACTCCTTTGTCCACTCCTTCGAGCCGTC